TTGTAAACCACAGACCTGGCATTTAGGAACAACAGCCTGAGACCAGGGCCCTGACAACTCTTGCCATCTGGCCTTGGAGTGGAACTAATAGGGCCGGAAGGAGGGATCGCTGTGACGTAGCGGACCCTCCTTCCCCGGTAATGGCTAGCCCTAAAGTTCCCGCCATACCTGCCCCTCCCCATACATACACATCTAGTTCTCGACTCACAAGTATTTGTTTAGCAACCATTTAAAGTTACACAGATGCTAAAAGTGATTTATGACTGGTCATCATACTTACAACTGTCACATCATCGCTGTAGTCATATGGACACAATTTGGGTGCTTGGTAATGGCACTTGTTTATAACAGTTGCAGTATTTTTGGATTATGTGATCATCACCTGCAAACTTCCCAGCCTAGGCAGTGAGCAAAGTGAAAGGGGAAATTTGGATTCACTTAATGACAGGATAATTTGTTTAAAGGCCATGGCAAAAAAATCTAAAATCAGGCATGGTCACATGTTTATTCACATAGCCCTGACATCACATACTGATGGAAGTTCTGGTTCCATTTGAAGTCATAAATTGACTTCAACTCAATTCATGCAGTATGAAATGCATCTACTGATCTTTTAAGAACATATTATAAGCATGCACGTACATTTAATGGTTTAAACGCAGAAACTTGAGAATACATACAGAATAAGGTTTCTGCTGTAAATCTTGGTTCCTTCATTAAATTTATATTTCCATTTACAGTTTATTACAGTAGTATTATATAAAGTACAATATCATTTTATGTGAAATAAAAATGTGAAGTAACATTTACTCAATTTTCCTGTCTTTGGCATAGTTCTAAATGTAACAGACTCGTGTGGAAATACACCACTGCACTGGGCTACAAAAAAACAACAGACTGAAAGTGTTAAATTACTTCTCAGAAGAGGGGCCAACCCAAACATCCTTAATTCCAATATGATTTCTCCACTTCACTGGGCTGTGTTGTATCTTTTAAATGATTTAGTTAAGGTAAAGCTCCATTTCCAAATTCATATGCAAATAAGTTGGTGAAGTTAAAAAACAAGATCATCTCATGGATATTTATAGAAGTTAATGTGAATAAATGGGGATTAATATGCTACATCTTGATTTTTGGAGATTCTGAATTATAGACAGATGAAAAATGCTGCATTTTATTATCTCTGCTCCTGTGGAAGCTAATCTAATCTTTCAAATTCTGATATTGTTCTTCAGTTTTTAAAAGCTACCAGATAACAGAAATTAGCAATTTTGTTTTATTCATTGAAGGCAAAATACAGAGGATAGTTTAAAACAAGTTTTAAAATTTTGGCTTTCAGGAAAAGGTTGTTTTCTGTTCTTTTTTTAACACTTTAAGTTCTATTGATTCCTGGTGAGTCCCTGGACAGTTTTTTTCAGATGGTTTCATGCCTAAAATAGGACTAGAACTCTCAGTCTCTTGGTTTCTAGCCTGATGCATTAACCATTACACCAAACTAGCTCTATCAGGAAATTATATTGAAAATAGGGGATGTTCTGATGTAATGAGGATAAAGTGATGGAAAGTGTAGGGCAGGAAACCCCAAGCCCCGGGACGCAGAGTGGTACCAGTCTGCAGCCTGTTGGGAACTGGGCAGTGGAAGCAAAGCTTCATTTATGCATGCACAATGCAAAACTTCATTTGTGCATGCACAAGATCTAGGTTACATGCGCTAAACCATCCCCTTCTCCCTGCTACTGCTTCCACTGCTGGTCAATGGAGCCAGAAAGATTGGGGACCACTGGTGTAGGGCTCCGGATTAAGAAGCACAATGATCTTGACAAACAGGAAGCTAAGATTTCTCACAAATGAAGGCAATTGGATCCCAGTAAGATTTCTTCCTTAATGTAATTTTATGATGAGCAAACATGATACCATTTGGTATTTTATACATATAGTTGAAAGTTTGTTTGATACTGTGGTTTGAAACTCCAGCCCAGAAACTGAGAGACTCTGTCCTCATTCTGCCTTAGGCACAAAATATCTAGTTATTTTCTCTTATCCTTAGAGAGAATGAAATGGGAAACCATTCTCAAAACTGTTGTAAGAAAACTCCAGAGACTTGTGAAGGGTCATCATTATTACATTGGCCAGTCTTATTTGCAGTTATTAATCTATATATAGATAGTTCTCAATTTACAACTATAATTATTCCAAACCAAGAAGAATGTAATTAAATGTGCCAATACAGGTAGTCCACAATTTACAATCATAATTGAGCCCAGAATTACAGTCATAAGTCATTGCGGTCATTAAGCAGGTTACCATATGACAGGACCTGATTTGATGACCTTTTTGTGGCAGACATTAAATAAACATGGTAGTCATTAAGTGGAGGGAGGGAGGGAAAGATGAAAGGAAGGGTGGAAGGAAGAGTGGTATGCTGAGTGAGATAAAGGAAGACAGGCAGGCAGATTTCTGATGCTCCCTGGTGGCTTCCACAAACCTTCAGGCCCTAACTTTGAATTTAGCATCATGATTTCTGATTTTCTTAATTGTGTCGTTACAGAAATCTCAGTCTTAATTGAAGCCACTGTTATATAGTAGCTTACATACAAAGTATACCTAAACACTTACTATAGGATCCTGGAAGTCTAGAGTATATGCATTCAATTTACAAATAAGAGCTACTATTTATTTGAACTTCTAGACTTTAAAAAACTGCAATATTGGAATTTTGCTGTAAAACAGTATAGCAGTGAGGATTGGAAATGGGGTGTAAAACAGGTTGTACTAATTGTATACTAATTTTAAGACACAGTGCTAAATCACAAATCTGGTCAGAAACCATCAAGTGATTTATAATTGGATAACAAGACTAAGCCTGCCAGTTATGATCATATGTGTGTTTGTCACAGTATAGCCTCTCTAAGAATAGTATAACAGTGCATTGACAGAAAACATTTACATTTTATTTGAATATTTAGATTTTCCTTGAATGCAGCACTACGGATGTAAATCTGGAAGGAGAGGGTGGGAATACACCAATATTAGTAGCATGTTACAAAGATAATCCTGAAGCACTGAAACTTCTGGTATGTATAACAAATGTATATATTTTTGTCAATGTGTTTGAATTGTCCTTTGTCTACTACTTACATTCTTTTTATAACTTCGTGTTCTTGAGGTTTGCGATGTTGTAATGCTATTCCTTCTCATAGTGGAATATCTATTTTATTAGATATAGTCCTTGATGTGCCACCATAATTTAGCCCACAATTTCATGATAGTTGTAAAATGAGTCACCATATGCCCAGATCAGTTTTAGCCACTGTAATAACAATAGCACTTAGACTTATAGTATATAGCACTTCACAGTGCTTTACAGCCCTTTCTAAGCAGTTTACAGAAGCATCATATTAACCTCAACAATCTGGATCTTAATTTTACTGACCTTGGAAGAATTGAAAGTAAAGTAAACCTTGAGTCTCTCGACTGCTGACAGTTGGCAGAGGTAGCCTGTACGGTAATACTGCATTCTAACCATTGCGCCACCATGGCTCTTTTTTTTACAATCTTGTTTTATAATATTATTTGTGGCACTTGTTAGACAAACACTGCTGTCGTTAAGTTTCCAGAAAAATATTTAAAATTGCAGTCACATGACCACAGGGAGGGGGAGACACTGGAACTTCAAATCCATTGGATGGGTTTGTTAGAACTTCAAATGGTCACTTACTTACCGGTTATAAGTTAAGGATTATCTGTTGCTTGGTGTGTAAGTATAATATAGTGGTTAGAGGTTTACTGTATTTTCTGTAGTATATTTTTTATTATTGCAATTATTGTTTTAACCTCATTTACATATGCCACTCAGAGCAGATAATGATTGGAGCAACATATAAGCCTAGTAAATAAAAATATCTGAATTGAATCTTCTAAACAGCTGGAATTGAATCAAGTGCCATCTTATTGCAATGAGTTACACATTTGTCTTGTTTCTTTTGTTCCTGCAAATTTTGATCATTTTATCCATGCCTGAAGGGAAGAAATTGACTATATGGGAACTCTAGTAATCTCTCTATCATTCCAGTGAAATTTAGGATAATATTTCTCTATTGAGGAAGATGTACTTTAGCTGAGTGAGAAGTACAACTTCCTCCATTCTTTCTGATTTTGGGGCCTCAATTCCACAATTGGAAGAGATAAAACACATTTGTATCAATTAAAAAGGTAAAGGTTCCCCTTGCACATATGTGCTAGTTGTTCCGGACTCTAGGGGGCAGTGTTCATCTCCATTTCAAAGCCAAAGAGCCAGCACTGTCCGAAGATGCCTCCGTGGTCATGTAGCCGGCGTGACTAAACGCTGAAGGTGCACAGAACGCTGTTACCTTCCCACCAAAGGTGGTCCCTATTTTTCAAGTTGCATTTTTTACGTGCTTTCGAACTGCTAGATTGGCAGAAGCTGGGACAAGTAACGGGAGCTAACTCTGTGATACGGTGCTAGGGATTCAAATTGTTGACCTTTCTGATCGACAAGCTCAGGGTCTTAGCCACCGAGCCATTGCGTCCCTTGTATCAATTAGCCAGTGTTTTCATTTCTTACAATCTATTTTGATAGTGTATGTAGTGAGTGTGTGTGAAAAGTCAACTTGTCATTTCATAACTGGTTCTCTTTCTTGCAGATTGAAAATGGCGGTGACATTGCTAAAGCGAACAATATGGGCTGTATGCCAGTCCATGCAGCTGCCTTTTCTGGTTCGAAATTATGTTTGGAGATTATTATAAAGCGAGGTAAATGCATTTAGGAAACCTTCCATTAATATTGTTTATAATTGAAGTAGCACTCAGAGGTGTCTCTTAAAATATTTTAGGATTGTAGGGTTCAAGTGGCTGTAAAGTATGTGAGTGTAATAGCCATTAATATGAAAAGGGCAAGAGATGATAGGATGTGTTATTCTGCAAGGCTCCTGAGACATGAGGAGGAATAGGACAGTGGTCTAATGAGGTGATGCAAAAGGGGAAATGCTGCCTTATGCACATAATTTTTTGCTATTGGTAAAGTTCTTTACTTTTAAAAAGTGTTAAAATGTTATCAGAGTTATATTACTGTTACTACTCAAAATAATGAAAAAGAATTCCAGTGATTTTTCAGGAGTTACTCTCTTACAACAGAGGAGCTTGGAATAAAGGATCACAGGTAGTCTTCGACTTACGACCACATTGGTGCCTAAAATCTTTGTTGCTAAGTGAGACATTTATTAAGCGAGTTTTGCCCAATTGTATGACTTTTCTTACCATAGTTGTTAAGTGAATCATGGCAGTCATTAAGTTAGTAACCTGGTTGGTAAGTGAATCTGACTTCCCCCTTGACTTTGCTGGTCAGAAGGTCACAAAGGTTGATCACATGACCCCAGGACACTGCAACCGTCATAAATATGAACCAGTTGCCAAGCATCCAAATTTTAATCAGGTGGCCATGGGGATGATGCAACGGTCGTAAGTGTGAAAAAGTCACTTTTTCAGGGCTGCTGTAACTCTGAACTGTCACTAAACAAACTGTTGTAAGTCAAGGACTACCTGTACAAGAGCTGGGTTGCAAAGAAGTAGATGGTAATAAAGAGACATACAGAAAAATTTAACACTTTGCTGTTACTTTAGTAGTTATTTGGAATTTTAAAGCCCACATTGGTTAACTCTAGATTGGAGGGGACAGTTATTGCCTGCTCCTGTATTAAAATGTATTTTTTGTATGTATTACAAATCATTTTATAAACAGAAGAAGGAAGGAATAACATAGAGGCTTTATGGTGCATAAGTACACCAGCGTCAGGGATGTGCAATCAGGGGAGGCAGGGGAGGCGGGGCCTCATCAGTGTCATGAGGAAAAGAAAAGAAAAATTAAAAGGAAAAAGGCTAAGGTAGTTGCTGCCAGAATGACTCTGCTTAGTGCTAACTGCAGGGGGAGGCGAGAGAACTATGTGCCTCCTNACAATAAAAATATTTAAAAAAAGAAAAGAGGAAAAGTTTTCAATTCAGTGGTAAATATTTGCAAATGATCCAAAATTTAGTCCTAAGCAGCTATGGGTAGAAGGAGGGGAAGTCTTGTCTTAAATCACAAATAATCATTGGCAATCAGAATTCTAAAAGGTTAGAATAACCAATTATTTTATGTTCTATAAGCTGCCTAAAGTAGACAGTAGGCAGCAAATAAATTTAACAAGTAATAATAATAAAAGACATATCTTTTGTTCTAAACCAGTCCAACCTAACTCACGGGTGTTTTGTTACATAAAAAATTGTTATAAGGAAACATTATGTGTTCAACCTTGTGCTCTTGAACAAACAAGGATATAAATCTAACAAATACAAGTATTCTGTATTTAATTCAGTTTCTAAGCCTAATCAATCATTCACTCGTACATTAATTATCATCATGAATCAGGATTAATCAGAAAAATACATAGTAAGGTATTTGTAAAGGTCGTTTTTCCATTTGGAACGTCTGTTATACATACTGTACATGTTTCAAAAACTGGAAGCTATATTTGACTCTATCGTTCAAAGTATACTTTTACCATCCTCTAAACTATGCAATGTTTCCCATTTCTGTTTTAAGTAGCCTGGTGTGTATGTAAACAAAGGCATCTTTCAGAGGAAAAAATGGATCAACAAAGAACGATCAACAAATAAATAAGGAAGAAGAAATTGTTAATTGTTTACAGTGTTTTAGAAAAAGTCCCTTAAAAAGAGATTCTGTGATATAGGTTTTTATTTGAGACTAAATTAATAAAATGCTTCATGCTCATTTTTTCTTGTTAATTCTACTTATGTGGATTTAAACACAATTTCCATAAATTCAAGAGAAGGAAACTATTTACTTTCAGGCTGAACAAGTTTCTGATAAGTTGTAATGTATTTTGATGAACTAAGATGCATTTTGATTATATTCTTTTCTACTTTTCTTTTTAAAAAATCACAGCACATCTTATGGTACAGACCACATTTCTGTATGCTGCTATTTAGACTATCCATTAAAAGCAATTAGTTCATCAAAAAGATCAGGAAGTGACCTTCCATGGCTCCCTAACATAGTTGAAGCTCTATTATCTTGGAAGGTTTATAGAAAGCTTGTTCATCATAAAAATGGGTTGGCTTGTCAAGGATTCAATCAAAATGAGGTCTTAGCACTTGATTCATTGGTCAAGTATCCCTCCCATAAATGACTCTCCCGGAAAGTGAGATTATTCAGTGGGAGCAGAGCTCCACCACTCTACTTTCTGAACCATCTGAACGGAACAACAGATAACAAGAGAGAAAGCAGGATTCGGTTCTGTCATGAATGACCAGGAGTTGTATCCTTGAAAAGTACTTCACAAGGTAAGTAACACATTGCTTTCTATAATCTAGTGAGCTACTCTTAATTTCTTTACAGGAAAACTTTTTTTTGCCACATAAAAATCCTTTTATTTTAAACATACATTTGATATCATTGTTCTCTTCAGAAAATAAGCAAATCTGAACAGATGTAATCACTTTTGTCAACTGCTTTAATTCCTAAACTTAATGTTTTCTTTAACATCATTTGGCCTTGTTTGTATCTTTGTTTTCCTTATTGTTCTCTTTAGTTCATGTGAATATATATTAATTTCTCATTTAGCATTTTCTCAACAATCCTGCCATGTTTGGAAAGCCCTTTTTAATCTCCTTTTTCTGGTAAAGTCCAAGTTGTGTTTATTCTACCAATTTACTCAGCATTATTTAGGATAAATTATTTTCTGCTATTCAATTTATAATTAATTTTCTGCATCATTTTACGAATCTTTCATTCTTCTCTTGAAGAAATGCTATATATTCGGCTTTAAAAAATTATAAATAGAACTTTGGAACTATTGTAAATAAATAAATATTTCCAAGGTATTACTGATAGAGAACTTCTCAGATAAATTTCTCTAGATGTTTCAGAAAACTTTAATAAAAATCTTTAATCAAATATCAGAATATTTTAATGTAGAAACAGACCATATATACCTTCTGTTACATAATAATAAATACTCCTTCCATTAAGGTGTCATATTTTAGCTTAATTAAGTAGGTTTTCATGGCTGTAATCCTATGTATAGTTTACTTGGAAGTAATTCCCACTAATTCATTGGGATTTGGTTTTAAATAAATATGCTTTAGATAGTGCTGTCAGAATCTTAATTTTTGAAAGAATTCTTCTTTTTCAATATACTGCATTTATTAAACAATCATATATTCATCAAAGGTTTGATCTGAGGTTATCTTCAATGAATCTAATTTAGTCTAATGGGTACATTGTTTTATCATTATCAAGCTCATTTTGCACAAACACATATAAAAGCTTTTTCAGTCCACTCTGGGGAAAACTATTCTATTTTTTAATCTGCTTATTAGATTTACTATCTTATGTAAATACATTAAAAAGATATATGAAGTTGTGTCATTAAGCTTCAGATTCTCTCTAGTATCCCTTAAAAATCAATTCCTTTCAAAATGTCCTTCCAAAATTGTTAACACGTTTTAAAATTGCAGCCTCACAAAGCTTTAAAAAACTGCAGTCTAAAAGAACCTCATCAAGAGTCTACAAATATATCAATGTTTGTTATTCTAGGAAACTAGGATCTTATTGGTTCAGACAGGGTTCAATTGAAGTAAATCACAAAATAATCAGAAGTAACACATGCAGATATGCACAAACACACATATATAATAGCAAGGTTATTATTTGCAACTACAATTACAGTTATATTCTATCTGTCTGTCTGTCTATCTATCTATCTATCTATCTATCTATCTATCTATCTATCTATCTATCTATCATAGTGAATCTTAAATCATAACTTTTATTACTCTTACTTTAGAAATTTTGTGTCCATGTATGTCTTCAACTTAGTCTTAACTTTGTGTGATTACCTGTACATGTCCACATAATCTTCTTACAGTTTTTTCAGAAGTAGCTTGCCATTGCATTCCTAGGGCTAAAAGAGGGTAGATGTCCAAAAGTCACCGAGCTGGCTTTTTGCTTAAGGTAGGGTAAAAGGAACATTCTCCCAGTTTCTAGCTCAGGGTCTTTAATCACTGTCTAGGCCACACTGGCTCTCTATTTTGGAGTAAGCACCAGTAGATTCAGTGGGACAGACTGCTGAACAGAGATGAATAC